GTCTGTCTGTCTGTCTATCTATCTATCTATCTATCTATCTATCTATCTATCTGTCTGTCTATTTATCCATCCATCTATCTCTCTGTGTGTCTGTCTGTCCGTTTGTCTATCTGTCTGTCTGTATATTTGTCTGTCTGTCTGTCTATAAATATAAATTTAACATGGGACAGAAATTATCCAGTGTGTGTTGTTTGCATCATCTACAACAGCATTAAAAGACGCAGCACAGAAAGGCAGGTTAGGTCGGTGTAGTATATTTGTTTTACTGCAGTCATATTAAACACACCTTAAATTAGTGTGTGAGAAAGGCATTATGTCAGTGTTACGGTGTGTTCAAAGTGTTATAGAGCAGCTGAGGTCTGAGCTGATCAATGAATCGAGCTGTTTAAATCACGCTGGTTTTTGTGTTTGATGCTTTTCTGAACACCTGAAACTCTTGACTTTTATAATGCGTCATATGATGATGTCTGCTGCTCTTGATTTATTAATATTTCACCTCAAAGCACCTCATGTCGCCTCAAAGCAAGAAGGTCGCTGGTTAGAGTCCCGGCTGGGTCAGTTGGCATTTCTATGTGGAGTTTGCATGTTCTCCCCGTGTTGGCATGGGTTTCCTCCGTGTGCTCCGGTTTCCCCCACAGTCCAAACACATGCGCTATAGGGGAATTGATGAACTAAATTTGCCAAAGTGTGTGAGTGTGAATAGAAGTGTGTATAGTTGTTTCCCAGTGATGTGTTGCAGCTGGAAGGGCATCTGCTGTGTAAAACATATGCTGGATAAGTTGGTGGTTCATTCCGCTGTGGTGACTAAGACGAAAAGAAAATGAATGAATGGTGACGCTCAATAACGCAAGTGTTTCTTTTGAGCAAAGGTCTGTGTGTGAGAGCGAGTGTGTGTCCGTGCCGAGCGCTGCTGTTTACAAACACAATCACTCTTTTCTCCAGAACAGCAGGAAAACACACACACACATACACACACACACAGACAGAGTCTATCACGACCTTTCTCTGTTTCTCCTTGTCACATCTGATCATCAGTGTGTGTCGACCTCCAGGAGAACCAGGGGCTGATAAAAACAACACACACATTTACGCACACACATAGACACGAACACACACACACACTCAGTTACACGCACAAACTCACTCATATTTAGACAGACACACATACGCATAGACAGATATAAAGACACACACAAATACAAGCAGACACACACACACGCACACACATACATGCATACAACCACACACAGACAGACACACACATACATACAACCAGCCACACACATGCACATACAGACAGATACACACACAAACACACATACTTACAAACAGCCACACACAAACACATACAGACAGACAGACAGACAAAATCATACATACAGTCACACAGACATACACACACACACAGACAGACACACACACATTTGGTGTACATACATTAGTTGACAGTGAGTCACTGGACACGAGGTGTGTATGAGTGTAAATCAGCTACTGTAAGTCTCTGTTAGCCGTCCTGAGCTCTTCAGACTGATTTCGGATTGTGAATGTGATCCACATGGAGTCAAGCTGAAAGTCAAATTCAGAGGTTGACCTTTGACCTTTGGCTGTTTACGTTTCGTCACATCTTTCAATGTTTCATCTGAGCTGCAGGAAGCTCGTTTGACCTCTTGACCTGGGTCTCGTTGCCTAGCAACAGTAGGTAATGGTGACCTGTAAAACGAAAGAGCCGCGGAGTTGGTCTACACACAGAGATTGAGTTAATAAACAGCGTGCTTTTCTCAATGCATGTGGAACAGACTTTTGAGATGGAACAAAAGTGTATTAGGTTTATATATCATTTTTATTTTCCTCATCCCCATCCGAAATTAGTTTGTTTTGACAATGTGTGTGTATTGCTTTGTATGTGTGTGTG